ACATTTAAAAATTTCCCATCAGTACCTATAACTTCTTTGGAATTTACTGAGATATCAAGCTTGGTAGGGTGGAGGGTCGACGAAAGAGGGGGAGGCCTTCAACGAGATGGATTGATATGGTGACTGCGATGATGGGCTCAAGTATAGCAGGGATTGTGGGGCTGGCGAGGGATTGGGCAGTGTTTCATTCTCCTGTGCATGGGGTCGCTATGAGTCGGAAACGACTCGACGGCACTTAACAACAACAACAACATGAGAAAACTGAAGTGGCTATATTTATATCAGAGACGTACTCTTCAAGACACAAAATAAAAATAGGAAGACAGTCTGAGTGTGTAGCCAGACCAAGTGGGTCCCCGCCCAGTGTGCTGCAAGGACAGGAGACAGAAAACACCAGATTTTGATGAAAGAAAAAGTGTTGTCGGAAAACAAGGTCCTTACCCCCTGACGTGAAGAACCAATGATCACAACAGGTTGAAGAGGGAAAACCAGCAAGTTAGTCACTATGATTAATGTCTACTTTAATCATGCCTGCTAGTCTGTTAAAGTTCTGTAATTTCCAGTAAGGGGCCCGTTCAGCCTTCCACTTCAGCCTTCCACAGTATCCCGTTTCCAAGGTTCACAATCATGGGAAATGGGATGGTAGTCCCATTAGGCTACTTCCTGCTGTACGTGGGTGACAAGTGGTCAATTCTTCAGAGGGGGAGACTGGTAAAAATTAGTAACACCTTCTTGTGTAAGTTCACCAGTATTAGGCATCTTAAAGAGGAGAAATATACAAGTACCTTGAGGGTTTTGGACATTCCATTGGAGGCTACTTTCATCAAGGACAGGACACGAGCACATATGATTATTACTGTAAGGCCCAGAGTAATTTAGGGGGTGAGCCAAGAGCTCAGGTTGGGGAATAAGCTTTCAAACAAGCTCCATCCACTTCTTTGGTCCCAGGCCCTTGGCTTAGCCCATGAAGTAACTTTATGAAGAGCATTCAAATTTAATTCAACCTCCCAAGCACAGTATGTCTTATTTATAATAGCATATACTCTACAGTATCTGGCATAAAGAAAATGAAAGACTATATTGTTATTTAAAACAACTCCAGCTAAGGAATTCAGAGAGGGCTGTTGGGCTCGAATGGCCTTCTCCATGCCCATGGCCAGGAGGTGGATGGTGACTGATAAATTTTGAATAAAATGCTCTATATATGTGGAATCCCTAAACTGGAATTGATAGTCCTTAAAAAAATACCATCCAAATCCAGCCTTGTTTCTGTTTCTGATATGCCTAATGATGCAAGGTTTACAGAAAAGAGGTCTCATTTCTGCCTGACCAGGGCTTCTGGTAAAATGTAGGAGATAGAGTGTATCCTAGCAAGAAAGGTGAGGAAACCTAAAGTACATTGTTCTACAAAGTGGATCCCTGTAAGGCATAATAAATTCCCCTCTGAGCAAAACAATGTCTACTTATCCATTGGTGGGCTTTTCTTGTAAAGCCATTTAAGTTCCTACAATGGAGATGCCTCCCAGAGTTCTGAAGGAGTGTTCCATTTGGGGTCTGCTGAGTGATCTCCTATGCACAGGCAGTCTTAATCCTGGTGTGGTGTAGCCATGACCCTTTGCCATTCATTTTCACCACAGTAGGTGTGTACAACAAGACTTCATAGGGGACATCTTCAGGATTCCAGTTTTTCAGTAGTCCCAATTCACGGCTCAGCCATATGTACAGGGACCTCAGGAAGTGGTCTGTAGAAAGAGTATTAGCCTCCCGCAGGGTCTGTAAAGTTTGCCCTGTTATCTGCAAATACTGTTTTATGAAACAGTATCTTATGTTTTTCATGAATAGTCCCAGTCGCTAAACCCACACCAGCATTGGTATAATTTAAGTCAGTGGCATTTAGGTTTTTCACTATGGGTGCCCATACATCATCTCAAAGGGACTTACCTTCAGCTTTGTTTTTTGGGGCAACTCTGATTCTGAACAGGGCCATGGGGAAGATTTTTTTTTACCCAATTTAATTTAATTGCTTGACATAATTTGGCTAAGTGAGTCCTTAAAGTTTGACTCATCCTTTCTATTTTACCACTAGATTGGCGTCTCCAAGCACATAAAGTTTCACTTGATACCCAAATGTTGAGACACCAACTGGAGTATTATGCCAGTGAAATGGGTTCTACTGTTGGCCCCAATTGTCTGGGGAATTTCGGGAATTTCAGACCTGGGAATAATCTCTCCCAAAAGTCTTTTGGCCATTTTCATGGCTTTCTCAATACTGCAAGGGAAGGCCTTTTGAATCCGTTCATACCGTTACCTTCTGACCCTGGGCCATTCTCAATGCCTGGAGCATGGTGATTAGCTCAGCCATCTGCACTGATGTTCCCTGAGGGAGTGTCTGTGCTTCCAACAAGACTTTGGTAAGGCTTCTGATTGCATAATCCATCTCCCATTTTCCATTTTCCACAAAGCTGCTCCCATCTACGAAACAACTGAGATCAGATTCATGTTGTGGCTGGTCAGAGAGATCTGGCCTTTTGGCAGGCACCAAGTTGAAGGTCCTGACAATCATGATGAATGAGGTCTGCTCGGGGCAAAGTAGGCAACAGGGTAGCCAAGTTTATTCTGGTTTCTGGCTAGATCTGCACACTTGGCTTACCTCCTAAGAAGGCCTGATATTGAGAAATTCTTGCTTGGGTGGCTCTTTGATCTAGGACTGCCAGGACTGAATGAGGGGTATAAAACCAGATGGTCTATCCTCAGGTTACCTAGCCTCAGGTTACCTAGCCAGCAGCTTTCAGCATCTTCACTGTTTCTGCTCACTGGATCTAAAGTTTTAGAAGAGTACGTCACTGGTCTTGTCCAAAATCCCAGGAACTGGCTAAGAACTCTGGGCACTATGCCTTGGTGCTCATGCATAAACAAATCAAAAGGTTTATGTAAATCTGGCAATCCTAAGGTCAGGGCCTCCCAGTAAGGCCTGCTTTAATTTATCAAAATTCTGTTGCTCTAATTTTCCCCACAGAAAGGGGTCAGTCTCTTTCTCCTTCCAGAAGAGAGTACAAGGGTTAAGTTACAAGTCCAAAGCTAGGTATTCAAATCCGATAAAATCCTGCCATACCTAGGAATCCTTTAAGTTGTTTGTGTGTCTGTGGTTGGAATAGCTGGCAAATGGCTTGCTTTTTCTCCAGTTGCAGTTTCCTTTTTCCTTTGTTGATGACAAACCTCAAATATGTCACTTTCTTTTGGACTGTCTTAAATATTCGATAGCTCATCACTAAATGTTCAATGCCCACCATCATACCTCCTTCAGTTCTGAATTTTCTTCCTACTGTGAGGAGTGCTCTGTTTGATAAACATAGTATTATCTGGGCTTTCAGGATCCAAATCTGTATAATGTTTCAAGGCTTTTAAAAATCTCTATAAGTAGGTAAAGGGATCCACATCTTTCTTTTGCCTAATCTTATATACCTTATTCAGACCCTTAAGTTTGGGAGCTCCATGTCTAAGTCCTATTAAAATACAATCTTTGTAATTAAAAATTTTGCATAATATTCTCTGTCATTTGGGTCCTAGCAGGGCTCCCATAGTGGCATGTCCTCTTCCAAAGTACCTGCCACCTGCTGTGATTGGGCATCTCTGTGCCTGTGTGCTTCCTCTCAGGCACAGCTCCTCAGCATTCTTTTTCTCCAGAGTTAACAAAGTATCAGGAGTAACTGACAATCAGCCCAGGATGGGTCAAAGGAGTTAAAATAAAAGTAATAGTCCATACATATTGCCTGGATTCTTCCAGTAACCTAGAGTATAATTCTTCCAATTGTATAAGTCAGCTGTGCTAAAAGGCACACGCACCCTTACCACCGCCACCCCCCCAAGGGGATCTGGTGAAGTGGGTATTGGCCCTTAGCCACCTCCCTGTGGCCTGGTCCTGTCTCCAGAACTTTCTGAATCAAATCAGGTCCCTGATAGGGCATCCCTTGCCAGGTGTGGGAAAGAGAAATTAGGGAGCCTCTTGAAGGTTCACCTTTCCCCCGTGGCTCCCACTTAAAAGTAAATCTGGTACTTGTGGATATGGAGGAGGGGGATTTAGGAACTTAAGGGGCTGTAAGGATCGTCTCCCCTGGTTAATACCAGGGCAGGAGCTGAAGGTTGCTTGTCCTTAGCAGTAGTCTGACCATAAATCTTACAAGCTTGTTGAGTTTCTTTATCATTGTACAAAGACATAAAATTCTCTATAAACATTTTCTTGTTTTATTTGCTAATGCAGGAACAAAACAAATGCAATCACAAAATGTTGTTACAATTTACTGACCCAGAAGGCAGTCAGAATTTTTGGTCTCCAAATTCATATCATGGTCACACAACTGCGCTTTTTAAAAAAGACCAGCTTTTTCCTTTTTCATGGGATCATAACCAAATTTGTTTCAATGTTTTAAAATACATTCTAGAGAAGTGCACTCTGGTGTACTCTGGCTGTTACCCATCTCAAACCTGGTTACAAAGAAATTGAATCAGGAAATCAGATCAGAAAAGCCAGCAAACAGACAGGTTAGTTTAATGGTCTTAACACTTAGAACAGTAAATATTGCTTTCATGTCCCCTGCTCAAGGACGAGGTGTTGCCACCTTCAACACAGACAAACAGCTTGGATACTGGGTGCTGCCAGCCTCAACGCAGACAACCTGCTTAAATTCCAGGTGCCACCCTCAACGCAGGCTGAGCAACTTCAAGGTTGGTTCCTAATATCCAGATTACAAACTCAAACCTCTGATCAAAACAAATGTAAGCCTACCTGAAGCAAGATTCCTTCATTGCCTCTCAAGGAGATAACATTGGATCCAGGCCAAGTCCTCCAGGTCACAGGTGAAAGGCTCTCTGGAGAAATCTCTAGGGTAGGATGGTGGCAAGCATTCTCCCTTGACCCGGTGGGCATGGACTGGCCACCAAATGGCACCCCTGGCTGAGTAGCCAGGAAAACATAACCATGAAAGTGGGTCCAGGTTTTGTTTGGCACAGCGGACAGAACCATAGCCTCAGGCTGCAACAAGTAAAGAAGCTCCATTTGGAAGGCTAACATTAAGGAATGCTGGAGACTACTGTTACCAAGGGAATTCATTGGGGTTTCAGGTTACTTTTACTTTTAAACTTCCTGTAGAAAAAATAAAGGAGGAGAAGAAAAGGGGGGTCCAAGTGTGAATCTACAATAAGAAGCTGGGTAAGGTGCAAATAGTTCTGTTAAATAAATACCTCTGACTTAAACATTACTGTCATCACACATGAGAGCCTCTCTGACAAATGAAACAAAGTTCTTTAAATGTAATACTTGGCAAGGTGAGCAAATAAAATTATGAGCTTGCTATGCTTATAGCACAAGTAGAGAAGAGCTGACCTTAAAGATATGATAAAGTAAAGCTTTAGAGATCTTTGTTTTCTGAGTGGCAGGACTCAAACTGAGGAGAAACAGCTGCAAACGTCCATCAAAAATCGGAACAGGGAATGTACAAAGTATGAATCTAGGAAAATTGGAAGTTGTCAAAAATGAAATGCAACGCATAAAGATTGATATCCTAGGCATTAGTGAGCTGAAATGGACTGGTTTTGCCCATTTTGAATCAGACAACAACATGATCTACTATGCTGGGAATGACAATTTGAATAGGAATGGTGTGGCATTCATCATCACAAAGGATGTTTCAAGATCTATCCTGAAGTACAATTTTGTCAGTTAAAGGATAATATCCATACGCCTACAAGCAAGGCCAGTTAATACTACTATTATTCAAATTACACACCAACCACCAAAGCCAAAGAGGAGGAAATTGGAGATTTTTACCAACATCTCCAGTCTGAAATTGACCAAACATGCAATGAGGATATGCTGATTATCACTGGTGACTGGAATGCAAAAGTTGGAAACAAAGAATGACTGGTAGTTGGAAAATATGACCTTGGTGATAACAATGCTGGAGACTGCATGACAGAATTTTGCAAGACCAATGACTTATTCATTGCAAACACCTGTTTTCAATAACAGAAACAGCAGCTATACATGTGGACCTTGCCAGATCGAGTGCACAGGAATCAGATTGACTACATCTGTGGCAAGAGGCGATGGAAAAGCTCAGTGCTCTGTATCTTCACTCAAAACAAGGCCAGTAGCTGATTGTGGAACAGACCATCAACTACTCATATGCAAGTTCAACTTGAAGCTGAAGACAATTAAAACAAGTTCACCAGAGCCAAAATATGACCTTGAATATATCCCTCTTGAATTTAGAGACCACCTAAAAAATAGATTTGATGCACTGAACCCCAATGACTGGAAACCAGAGGAATTGTGAGATGACATCAAGGACATTATCCATGAAGAAATCAAAAGGTCATTAAAAAGGCATGACAGGAAGAAAAGACCAAAATGGATGTCAGAAGAGACTCTGAAACTTACCCTTGAATGGAGAGTAGCTAAAGGAAATAGAAGATTTGACATGATAAAAGAGCTGAACAGAAGATTTCAAAGAGCAGCTCAAGAGGACAAAGTCAGTTTATAATGAAATGGACAAAGGCTTGGAGTTAGAAAACCAAAAGGGAAGAACACACTCGGCATTTCTCAAGCTGAAAGAACTGAAGAAAAAAAATTTATGTCTTGAGTTGCAATATTGAAAAGTTCTATGGGAAAATATTGAATGATGCAGGAAACATCAAAAGAAGATGGAAGGAATACACAGAGTCATTATACCAAAAAGAATTGGTTGATGTTCATCCATTTCATGAGGTGGCATATCAAGAACCAATGATATTGCGGGAAGCAGTCAAAGCTGCACTGAAGGAAGTGGTGAAAAACAAGGCTCCAGGAACTGACCCAATACCCATTGAGATGTTTCAAGAAATGGATGCCCTGCTGGAGGCACTCACTAGGCTATGCCAAGAGACTTGGAAGACAGTTACCTGGTCAACTGACTGGAAGAGATCCATATTCTTACACATTCCAAAAAAGGTGATGCCACAGAATGTGAAAATTATAGAACAATATCATTAATATTGCACGCAAGTAAACTCTTACCGAAGATATTTCAAAAACAATTGCAGTAGTACATTGACAGAAAACTTCCAGAAATGTGGTTCAGAAGAGGACGTGGAATGAGGGCTATCATTGCTGATGTCAGATGGGTCTTGGATCAAAGCAAAGAACACCAGAAAGATGTTTACTTGTGTTTTATTGACTATGCAAAAGCATTATATTGTGTGGATCATAACAAATCATGGATAACATTGAGAAGAATGGGAATTCCAGAATACTTAATTGAACTCATGAGGCACCTGTACATAGACCAGGAGGGAACACTGCATGGTTTAAAATCAAGAAGGAAATGCTTCAGAGTTGTATCCTTTCACCATACTTATTCAATCAGTATGCTGGGCAAATAATCCGAGAAGCTCGACTATATGAAGAAGAATGTAGCATCAGGATTGGAGGAAGAATCAATAATCACCTGTGACACACTGATGACACAACTTTATTTGCTGAGAGTGAGTATGGCTTGAAACACTTACCAATGAATATTGAAGAATAAAGTCTGTGGTATGGATTGTACCTCAATATAAAGAAAACAAAAATCCTCACAATGAGGCCAATAAACAGCATCACAATAAATGGAGAAAAGATTGAAATTGTCAAAGACTTCATATTACCTGGTTCTTCAATCAACACCATTGGAAGAAGCAGTCAGGATATTAGATAACATATGTTGTTGATGTTGTTATGTGCCATCGAGTCAGACCTGACTCATAGTGACTCCTCCTTGGGTTTCTGAGACAGTATCAATACAGAAGTAGATTGCCCCACTTTCCTTCCGAGGAGTGGCTGGTGGGTTTGAATGACCAGCCTTCTGGTTAGCAGTCAAGTGCCTTAGGCACTATGGTACCAGAGATAACATATAGCACTGGGAAAATCTGCTGCAAAAGAACTCTTTCAAGTGCTGAAGAGCAAAGATTTGTCCTTGAGGACTAAGGTGTGCCTGACACAAGCCACAGTATTTTCAATTGCCTCATATGCATATGAGAGCTGGACAATGAATAAAGAAGATCAAAGAAGAGTAGATGCTTTTGAGTTTTGGTGCTGGTGAAGAATGATGAAGGTACCGTGGACTGCTAAAAGAACTAACAAGTCTGTCCTGGAGGAAATGCAGCCAGAATGCTCCTTGGAAGTAAGAATGGCCAGACTTCATCTCACCTACTTTGGTCATGTTGCAAGCAGAGAGCATTCCCTGGAGAAGGGTGTCATGCAAAGGATGTCATGTAAAGTGGAAAGTCAATGAAAGAGGGGAAGGCCATCAACAAGATAGATTGATACAGTGGCTGCAATGATGAGCTCAGGTATAGCAGGAATCATGGAGCTGGCATAGGACTGGGCAGTGTTTCATTCTGCTGTACACAGGGTCGCTGTGAGTCAGAGATGACATGACAGCACCTAACAGCAACAACAACATGCTTAATTTCCAGTTATCAAGAGGTATAGAGAACATGAGGTAGTGAAGACATAAAAACTGATAAATCGACAATTTATACTTTATACATGAAAAAACACAAAAACTATTTCAACAAAATCAGAACACACAAACCATTCAAAGACAAAACCACACCCATACACCAGATGATCAGGAGACCCTGATCACAAAATAGTACACCCCACCCCCCGAACCAAGTCAGCCTTCCTCTTCTAAGGAATGATATGGGGCAGGGTTCCCTCATAGGACAGTCAACTAAGCCTGCCCTCCTCCTCCCATGGAGGAGCGGTACTATTGTGACTAGGGCAAGTCTCTCCCGCTCCCGTCAGTCCCTGTCCTGTGGCACCCAGGAAGAAGGTAGGGGACTTACCAGAAGCCATTTCCTGAACTTTTCCTTTTCCTCTTCCTCTTCTATGCAAAATGGACTGGTAGGGCTGCCTGCTGATGGAGGCAGTGGGAAGTCTGCCGGGGAAAAGAAAATCCCAGCAGCCGCTTAGAGCAGGCCACCCATGCCTCAGTCAGAGACCCTGGACCACCAAGTCTCAGGGGGCAAAAAGCCCATTCGGCAATGCCAGAAATATGTTGTTGGAAAACAAGGTCCTTACCCCCTGTCAGGAAGTCAATGATTACAACAGGTTGAAGAGGAAAAAATAGCAATTTAGTCACTATGATTAATGTCTACTTTAATCATGCCTGCTAGTCTGTTAAAGTTCTGTAATTTTCAGTGAGGGCTTGTTGGACCTTCCAATTCAGGCTTCCACAAAAGTAGGTTTATTACCCTGCACAGACTAAGGGAGCTCTGGTGGTGTAGTGCCTAAGGCACTTGACTGCTAACTAGAAGTCTGGCGGTTCAAACCCACCAGGCACTCCTCAGAAGGAAGGTTAGGGAATCTACTTCCATAGTGATACCAACTCAGAAAACCAAGGATGGGTCACTATGAGTTGGGATCGACTCCACAACATTGAGTTTGTATTTTTTTTTTTTTTTTTTGGTTTGCAATATAAGGAGACAGGGGGCATGTTCAAATCTGACTCCTTGAGTGGTGGTAAGGATACATATAGCTTTTACAGGGTTCAAGAAAGTGAAATTATACATATTCATATAAATGCCAGCAAATTGGGTGTGAATTGACCGAAGTTTCCTTTGCCTCGGTTTAAAGGGACAGTCAATTTTTAATGCCATGCCCTTGCATGCCAGATGCATTAAACTGACTACCTGTCATCATCTGATCAGGGTTTAGGCAAATGTGGAAAAGTTGGTTCCAAGCAACTGTTTCTCCCAATGTGCAAGTTTGTGGGCCAAAATTGGTCTGAGCTGGTTACTATCTTGGTTTTGGTCTGCTGGAAGATCTGGAATTTCCTTGCAAGATGAGCTGAGAAAGGGGCATGCGGGAGGATAGGAAAAAAAAAAAAAGAAAACTGCTATGGTGGTTAATATGTTTGTTTTGGTTTGGCTAGATAAGAAACAGAAACAGTTTCCATTCTCTCCTTGAGTTGGACACTCTTCAATCTTGGGAATATGGGCGGCGACCAC